AAAAAAAAATGCAACTGCGTTGAGCTGAGCTTCTCTTCAAATTGATTTACAAACTGTCTCCCTGTCCTGCTCTCTGTAAGTCGCTCTCTCTCGCTCTCTGTAATTGGCTCTCCCGCACTCGTTCGCTCTTGCTCGTTGAGTTGCTCTTCAGTTGAGTCTTCTCTTGGCAATAGCAGCGAGGTTATTGGGTTTTGTAATACCTTATGGGTTTATTGAGCTATTGTCGCCGTCTTTCAAATTAATTGCAATCAATAATGCAGTAAAAATAATAAAAAAAAATCTAATAATTTTTTTATGCATTTTTAATCTTACTATAAGTTTTTATATACTTTCGTGTGTCTGAGAGTATATTAGTTCTGTATAATTTGTATTTGTTTGCAGCTAGAGGCTTGAACTGTTGGCTCTATACCTTTTATATATTTTATTTAATAATTTTAAAGACAATCTCCGATGAAATATATTATATTCATATTATATTATTATTATATATAATATATAATAAATGATTCGTTATTAGGCTCACATTAATAACACATTATTCATATGATTTTATTTGCCCATTTTGCTTGTAAAGTTTTAGTGTTTGTTGTTTAATCTCTTCGTATTCATCGCATTTCCTCTGCGCGTTCTTTTCGTGTCGGTAACTTGTTTTGCAGTTGATTTAAATCGAGCGTAATTAAATATTGTTGGTAAATTAATTTTTAATTGTTTTTTGAGTTGTGCCTTTTGCGTTATCTTTGGCGATAGTTTATATTTTTATTTTTATTTGTTCATTTTTGTGGCATCAAAATTGTTTAGCTGCATTTTTGAATACTATTGCCTCTTTTTCAAGGTTGAATTTGACAAACAAACCAATTATTATTATGTAAAAACTTGGGCAATTAAATGAGAAGTTGTTTAATGGAATCAAGTGTTGTTTTTCATATAAATTCATCAACTACTTTAAGAGCCTCGCAAACCTTAAGGCATGTGATTTGCAAAAGCTATTAATGAGAAAGCTTTTCCCTGCAAATCAATTAAAATATTTGCAAATTACGTTTCGTTAACTCATTTAACTGCTAATTTGCAGCAACAAAAATCACACCTGTGATTAGGAAGATAGGCAACTTTATGCAACAGTCTGGCAACGCCAAATCAAGCTCTCTGGCTGCAAAGCTTCGCTCAACTCTTAAGAAAACAAGCTCTTAAGCTGGCTTGGCAACCGTTTATAAGAAAAGCAAACAAACTTCAATAAGAATCTCGCCATACGAGATTGAATTGAGCAACGCAACATGTTGCGAGTGAATATCAATCGAACTGCATCAACATGTTGCCGCAACAGTACAACTCGTTTGGGCAACATTGTTGCTGCGCTCTGCTGTCGGGCAACAAAGTGTTGGCCACTTAATGAGTCTCAATTAGTTTAAATGAAATGAAGCTGCGGCATTTTGATAGACTGCGTAGACGCGCCACAACTCCAACTGCGAAGCGTTTATTTAATTGAGTTTCATTTAAAATGCGCAAACAGTTGCGGAATGCGCCATGGAATTTCAGGAAGATAATTTGACAAACCAACTGCGCAATAAATGCAGAAAGTCTTGCATAAATTATAAACTGCAGTAGAACTTACGATATGCGTCCATTAAAATACCCGATAAACATATTGTAACAAGCCCTAAAATATGCTATGCAAATAAGCAAAAGCATTTATTTAATGTGTGTAAATTATTACTAAAGCTGTGGAAAAGTGGACTTAAGTGCTCGCTTAACAATCGCCCATAAATAATTTATGACTACGAATATGTAATTTGTAAACAATTATAGCTCAGCTTAATTAATTGAAGCATTTAAATTATGCATTTAGTTCAATTTAATAATACTTAGAGTGGAAATCTATATATAAATTTAAATATTATATATATGGATTGTATATATGAAAAATATAAATATTTTATAGTTTTAATCTATTGGGCCAATGTTCATTGACTTCCCTCTTAAGGTTCACATAACCGTATGCCTACCTCAAGGGGAAATCATCTTCATAGCAAACACCCTGTATGAATGTTCTGGATTGCCGTCAACCCCACGCACAGTCGCCACATTAAACTCGGGTCCAGAACTCAAGACCCCTAGTGTTATAAAACGAAAAAACCCCCAACCTATTAGATTAAGTGCGTCGAGAATTTTAACTTTTTTAGAAGGTTTCAGCAGTAAGCAGTCAATGATCTGCCGAAACTGCGCGGCATCAGTTGTGCCGCTCTGAACGAAATTGAAAATCAAGCTGAATTCATAGAGAATAAAATGTTTGGATTTAAGCTGTTGTTGTTGTTGCTGTGGCAGCTGTTCTACCTCAGCTCAGCTCGGCCGGCTATTGAGAATCACTCGACGCGCCTGCTCGAACGTCACGGAGTGAAGCGCGTTGACTTTCGCTTGGCGAGCCAGGAGGAGGGCCTCTACTACACCGAACTGGACACCGCCATGCGCGATATCCTGCTGCAAGTGCGGAACTTGTCGCAGCAGTCGGTGCTCACACAATTCGATTGGATACGGGCGAGAAACGTTGAAGCCGGTCGCATGCAGCTGCCGGTGCTGCAGAGCGCACGATTCCCCTGTGATCTGAGCGCGGGTCGATCGCCGGCGATACCCAACGATGTGAGGCAACTGCGTCCCGGCGACATTGATATTGTGGCCACGTGTGGCGACTCCTCCAACTCGGGCACGGGCATTCTGGGCCTGGGCGAGCTCGATGCGTACGTGGAGTATCGTGGCTATGCCTATACGGGCGGCGGCTTCGAGACGTGGCGCACGGCTCTGACGCTGCCCAACATACTGAAGCTCTATAATCCGGGGCTGTACGGCTATGCGGCGGGCCATAGCCTGGGCGCCGATGTGAATGTGTCGCGGTTCAATCTGGCTGAGCCGATGCTGAACATTCAGGATCTGCCATTTCAGGCGCATGTGCTGGTCGAACGTTTCCGCCGAGATCCCAGGGTCAACTTGCGGGAGCACTGGAAGCTGCTCAGCATTCAGGTGGGCGCAAATGATCTCTGCTCGGAGCTGTGCCACGCACCTAGTCCGGAGCACTTCCTTCGGGTCGTCGCACGCCAGTTGCACGAGACGTTCCGCATACTCAAGGAGCATGTGCCGCGATTGCTCATCAATTTTATCGTACATCCGGACATCGATGAGCTGTTGAGTCTGCTCGCTCGAATTCCGCCCAAGTGTGCTCAGCGTATGCCCTATTTCTGCTCCTGCTACAACAGCTACAATAACAGGACATTGTACGATGCTGCGAAACGTTTTCTGCACCTTCAGCTCTCCATTGCCGCCCTGCCCGAGTTCCGTAGCGCCGACTTTGCCATTGTGACCCATGGCATACTGAGGAACATCAGCAGCTTGTGGTCTGAGCAGCGCTTCATGGATAGGCATTTCTTTGCCAACGATTGCATCCACTACAGTCAGCTGGGCCATGCTGTGCTGGCCAAGCAATTGTGGAATAATATGGTGGGGCAAGCGGACCTGACCTCGGTGGAGGAGTGGCGCAAGCCCTTCAAGCATTTTCAGTGCCCCACTCTAAGCAGTCCTTATTTGAGAACTGAAAGTGATGTATTCTAGAGAAAGCGAACTTGTTTGTATAATATTTTGATTGAGTTAGCAACACGCATTATTTACTCCACACATTAACCTAGAACTGAACCCATTTACGTATACTTTTGTTTATAATTCATTTATAAATGAAATGTTTAATTATAATGTGTATAATAATAGACATATGTAATAATATTCTATGGGGATTAAAATTATAAGTACTTAGAGCCCATGAGCTCAGCTGCTGACTTTTTGTAAGCTTTAATTAATTTTTTGAGGAATGCGAAACGATTTAGACCTCCAAATGATAAATGAGAACCTTTTAGAGGACGCAGAAAACATAAATGAATCTTCAAAATTGCGGATGACAATCTGATGATCAAGATGATGATCAATTAGATATTCCAGTCTACTGGCATGGCATTGCT